GGTGTACCTAATAAAGTGGCCGGTGAGTGTATATATATATATTTCCATCTTTCATTGCACCACTCTGGACCTAAAGACACAAGTGCCTGAATATAAAGTTAATTCAAATATTATGAGTGAGAAATTCAGCACTGAAACTAAAATTCACAGCTTATGTTTGTTCATATTYTTTATAGGTCTGTCGTCAGTTTTAACACGTGGTTGGGTATAAATTASGAGATGTGTGGTCTTTTAAAAGCTAATTATTTCAAAAGTAAGGGATGATAAAAGATTTTTTGCACAATATTGATTTTGTTGCATTCCAAACTAAAATGGCACAAAGAASAGATAACACTGGTAACACTATGAAATCCATAAAAAAGAGCAAGTTTAACAGATCAGTTTGTTTCATTTTGAAGGAACTGTTCAAGTTCAGGTTATTCACCAGTTCACAACAAAGATCACCTCAGAGCTCTGTACTAAAACATTTATTATTAAATACCAGTTAGTAAAGGACACCTGCAAATTGCATCAAATCTTCACTTGGTCGCAACTTCCTGAGCAACACTGTGGAAAGAAGMGGTTTCCTTTAACAGGAARAAACCTCCACCAGAACCAGAGCCAGACTCAGGATAGTCACACAGCACAGGATGTTTAGTCCAGGTGCAGTTTCTATGGCAAGGAAACAAAGACAAACATGTTAATGACAACAACTGTAGAGTAGAGCGAGGAAAGACAGCAGCAGARTGAGGAAATGTGATCAGTTTGTCCTCCAGGAGTCTAAGCCTATAGCAGCAGAACTAAAGGATACCTGAGGAAACCCAAGCCAACTCTTAACTTTAGGGTTTATCAAAGAGGAAACTCTTATGCCTGGTCTTTAACGTACACACAGTCAGCCTCATGGACAGAAACTGGAAGTTGGTTCCACAGAAAACAAGAACTTCTCAGAAACTCTAGGAACCACAAGTAAACCTGCAGTCTGAGAGCAAAGTGCTCTGTTAGGAAAATATAGAACAACAAGATACTTAGAGAGCTCTGTATGGAAGAATATTTGAAAGTCTTCAGATGTTTCTTAAAGAAGTCACTATTACACGATTAATTGTTAATGTGACGATGTGATGGACTTTATYGTCCACTTGAGACATTTTGTTTTGGACTTGATGCTGTTCAGTCAGGTGTTTTCACACCTTATATCATGTAACGTAATGTGCCAGGAGTTCAGGCCATGATTTCCAGTTCTGTCAGAAGAAATCTAAAGCTGGTTTTTGCTTTAACCATTACAATAAAAATAAAAAAACACTTTGATTTAGTTTTAAAACAAGAAATCTTAAAAAAAAAACACTAAGCTTTTCGTATTTTCTCATTTTACTTTTATTTTGCGATGAAAAACCTAAGAACAAACCATGCACAGATTATTTTGCCCTCGCCCATGTTAGCACACAGCTGGGTTGGGGAAGACTCTCAGCTACTCCCACRCCAAATTTCAGCCCAATATTTGTAGAATTGCGGTGGCCATCTTGAATTGGCTCAGTGGTGGACGTGCGTCTAATAATCGTGTTTCTGCGTTTCTTCCAAATCTGTCCTGCGCTTCATGAGATGAAGTTGTGCTCATCAGGATAACCAAAGGTAAAATTATCTTTATTTAATTTTTTGATTTCACCTCGTGTCTCCAGGTGTGGGCCTCTTCTCGCTCCTCCTGGGTCTGGTCTGTGCCCACTGCTGCTGCCGCAACACAGCGCACACCCCCCGCTCGCGCAACAAGCTGATCAACTTCGAGATGGACTGACAAACACTTTCCCCCGCGCCCCCGCACTGCAGCGCCCACAGGAAGCACCATGCCAACCACAAACCGGCGCCGGTCGACGACTTCTGGGACACGCAGCTGTTCGCCGACGATGGGCGTTGGGAATAATTGGACCGACCGATCACAGTGCTTTAACCGGTGCTCAGGACACTTTGTGTTTTTAATCTCTGCAGCGGAGGTGCGGGGAGCGGGGGGACATCCACACCCACCAATGGAGTACAAGCCTTTCAGACTTCTGYTTTCTCTGAGGAAATCTGTGGCGCTTCTAGTCGATGTTTTCTTTTAAAACAGCATATTTGTTCCCGTCTAAGACTGCAACCCAACGAGAAACTCTGAGAAATAYGGAGCTTCTGAAACGTCACTGCCTGCTGGGAATAAAAGACTTTTTAACAGATCAGTTGCCTCTCTAACCACTAGGAATAACAAATGAAGCGCTCAGGCTGGACTACGTCCTGTTTCTTTTTCTTTTCTGTGTCCCCAAGGCTCGGTGCAGAGTACAACCTCTCCAAATCTGCTAGTAATTGGGTCCTTCAGTGCATCATTGAACTGAGRGGGGGAAAGTCAAGAGTTAGGCTTTTGTCTGCACTGAAACCCTGACGGATCCACGGTCTGAGTCTTCAGAGTTCACAAAGTTTGTTTTTGTTTTGTAGTGTACTTTCCACACAGGAGGGTACTGCACAACCACCCCGGAGTGTTTCTGTCTAACGAGGACGATTCAATTCTCAAGTCTAGTTTTTTGAAAATTTAAGAGATTTTAAAATGTGAGACCTTTTTTAAGCTTTACTATAAGATATGCAGTTTAGTGTGTTTGTGTGTGAGGTATACTGTACATGGTGCCAATATACAAACTGATTTCCAGACCAACACTTGAACAGCCGCTAACAGCGAGCGCCCTTCCATTATAAATAGTCAATAATATATCCAGCTGTTAGGTTTTTTATTTTTGCCTGAGTCTTGTGTGTTTTGTACACCAGTGTGAGTGTTGTGAGACAAATGGGTTGCATGTACGGTTTTTTAATGACTCGATCATGAGCAAAAATCATATTGTTCTTTCTTTTTTATATATATAAATATATATAAAAGCCTGATATGTCCGGATTTAAAACCTAGCCGCTAAGTTGCTAGCTGTTAGCACATAACATTTCGTATCAAGGTGGTACAAGACACTCAGCTGCTTCCTTGTTTTTTTGTTTTTTGATTTTAAGTTCATGATTCTCRTGTGTCAGCCTTGTTTTGTTTTGTTTTGTTTTTTTGAAATTGGTCAACATGCAGAGACATGTGCTTAGCTTAGCACAGAGATGCTAACCTCACTTGCTAAGCTAAAGCTCTATCTGTTCAGCGACCTGATGCGATGAGACTTTAGAAATGATTCTCATTTTGTTTTCTACAATTTTTTTGTTTTGTTTGGTTTTGTTTTTGCCCCGGCATAAATTAAACAATAAACACGTTGCCACGTTTTAGCAATGCTAGCAGTTTCGATCATTGTGTTTAACTAACAAGCATATTTCTCCAAGTATGAAACTCTTCATTTATCTCTGCAAAAAAATAAAAAAAATAGAAATGAATTATGCTTCCCAATATAAATTATGTCTTTTTTCTTTAATAATTGGCTCCTTTTATGCTCACAGCTTTTGTTTTTGAAAAATTCTCTCAGTAGGTCAACAATCTTAAAATTATTAAAACAAWTGAAAGTTTCCCATTTAGCTCAACAGCCAGCTTAAACTCTTATAAAGTCTCAAAAATTTTAGATTTATTATATATTTCTGTCTAAATTAGAAAACAGTAAAGCATTTGTTTAGTTCAACATTTGTTTTATGGATCTTCAGCTCAAATTTCAGCATTCTGTGTGTTTGCAAACACAAYAACTAGGCTATTTTAAGAGAAAATTTATCATACAAATCTGTTGGACGTGCATTTTCAGGCTTGAGTTATATTTTCCAGAACAACAGGCCCATTCTTGAGWCTGATTCTAACATTGTTTTTATCCCAAACTGCTCTTCTGTGGTTGAATTATTTTCAGTCACCTCAGCTCTTTCTGCAGGAAAACAAACCCTTGTTGTAGTTGGGTTCAACTCGCATTTGTTTAAAACTTTTCTCAAATTAACCACTTTTATGAAAAAAGTTTTGCTAATTTAGTTTCTTTGATTTTTTTATGACCAGTCTTCATGTTGCAAGGAATATATTTATTAATCTCTCTACTTTCAGAATATCATAACGTAAATTAAGAGTTTTATGTTAAAATTTCCTATAAAAYGGTTCATCTTACACCTGATCTAATCAATCCAAACCTGAACAAGAATGGAATTTTAATTACAAAATGATTCATTTACACACAAGTCCGCCCCAAAAAGGATAGAAAATGGAGAAATAATAAAGTATGAAAGTTTTAGCCAAACTGGTGTTCTGAAATGATTGTCTCAGTGATCAGGATGATTATATTATCAACATCAGAGACATACATCCAGTTACTGCTGAATAAAAGTGCCAAACTCTTCTCAACAATAAACACAAAGTAGCAACAATATGCACCAATGTCTCAGCCGGGTTACCCTTTTGACTTTTTTTTTTAATTGTTTTTTTTTTTCAGCAAATGAGTTATGATGACTTTTTAAATAAATAGATTTTAAAAATGAGCTCATGGGGAGTGGTTTTATCATGTCTGGTCTAATTTTATTGTTTGCCTGGCTTYTTTCTGATTGCAGTTATGTTTTAGTAAACCACTACAGAGGTTAAATGATGATGAACTGAATGTGTTTAAGACTTTATAAATCTGCCCTTATTTTTCACTACTGGATATTCTTAAATCAGCAGTTCAACAGAAATGGTTTCCAGCGGTTTTGGCGTGAKTTAGAAAATACGGTGTACTAAGAGCCAGTATTTGAAGACTGGATTGGGCACAGCGAGGGCCTCGCAGCACACTGCAGGGAGTGAAAACCATGCTGCTCCTGATGCTGGGAGTTCAGGTTGGAGTCTTTGAGTGATGGGAGGAGGACGAAGCAGAGGATGGGTCAGAAGGATGTGTGGTCTCCTCGGCAGTAATCGGGGTGTTGCTTCGGTCCGTTGTGGCAAAGCACTGAATTTACTGGTCTGTCTGTGAACCATAGATCATAAACGAAACATAACCCTGTACACGAGTGGCTGAACTGGTTCAGACTTGGAAASGAGGAGCTCCGAAGATTAAGAAGTAGTTTTCTGAGCTGGTTCTGACATCTRATTTGGAAGATGTCCTACTGGGAAGAGACCCAGAGAAAGACCCGGAGCTCACTGAARGTATTACATATCCTCTCTGGCCTGGAATCGCATAGGGATCCCCCTCTAAAGGAACCAGAGACCCTGGACCCAACCACTGTGAACATAAAAGGAATGACGGGAAGAACGTATATAATCGTAAAATACTCGTCWTGTTTCCTGATCATCTAAGATTATACCCTGATGAAAGTGTTTTATTGGAATAWAAAGTCCTGTAGGTTAAGTTATTGCTTTTCAGGATAAACTTCTAACTAAAACACCTCGTCTTTTCCTGTTTAACCCGACTGCTAAACGTTTCCTTGAGGATCGTGATCATGACTGCGGCTCGAGGACTGTTGACAAAAGTGGCCTAATTTGAGTTTTTATTCTCCATCTCTTGGCAAGCCATCAATCAGTCTGTTTGTTTGGCTTTTTTTTCCCCACAATACATAAAACGAAGAGAGAGAACTTCAGAACCTCCAGACTGAGTAAATATTTCATGATTCAGCGTTGGACTGTGCTTATAGCTTCCCATCGTCCTGGTGGTCCTCTGGGATTTTTTTTTCTTTTTTTTTAACTCGTATTTGTCACTCGTCTCTCGTTCACGGCCTCTCTTCTGACTATGTTTCACTCAGTTCTAGGCACAGGTCCACACATGAGCTGAAACCTGCTCTCAAGTTTTCATCTACGTTCCCCCCCACACACCACCACCATCCTGGCTCCTCATCATCTCATCTGTAGCTGARATGAAAAATGAACCGGATCCAGTGTTGATTAGCTGTGCCTGTGCTTGTTCTCTTACTCTCAGGGTCCATTTGACCCATKTTCCAGTCGAGGTGCTTCCCTCTGATCGTCCTGTCACCACTCCAAACATTGTCTTCTTTAACTGAATCAGAGACGTGTGTGATTTAAAATAAAGACGACCCGCACCGGATCCCTGTACTGGCTATGTGTGACACTTTCAGGGTTGCTCCATATAAAATTTAAAATAAAAAAGACACTGGTGGAAATATTCAGCAGCAGCCTTGTTCTCCCCAGAGCCCACCAGGGGCGACACGTTTTTCTGGGGTTTATTGTAATCTGAGGCTGATGTCAACAACAGCTCCTCATTTCTTCTTGCTAAACACTCCCATCATGACCGAATCATATGAGTCCTCAAAACGGTAGAAATTAAGGATGAATTGCAAATGAGTTTGCATAATCATGTTTCTTTTAAAAATGGACAAAAATAATTATCTTGTYGCTGGTTTTAGTGGACATATTCAGAAGGAAGTGATTGGCTTTGTTGTTGGGACTTTTTCTGTCCCATAACTACAACCACAAAGTTAAGGCAATGTGTTAAATGTAGATAAAAAATAGAATGCAGCAAGTTGCAAATTTAAGGAACACGGTAAACAAATCAAACTAAACCTTAAGGCAACAGAAGGCAGTGGAAGTCGGGGATAATTGGCAACAGGTTGGGAAGAAGAGTGGGTATAAAAAGTAAAGATGGGCAGAGGTTCACCTGTCGGAAAACTGCATCCAAAAGTAGTGGAAAAAAATCTAAGTAATGCAGCTCAACAGAAAAATGGGAAGACTTTGAATATCCCATCATCTCCAGGGGTCGGATTTATAAAACTGGCGTACGTACAATTTGAGCCCAGAAACTTGCGTACGCCACTTTTTACGCTACGGTTGTGATTTATAAAATCCAAACTTGATGTGAAAATGTGCGGTGCCTCACGCCAGCTCTGATCCATGCATACG